GTCAGAAGACACTTGCTGACTATCTGAGTTCAACATTTTTCAAAAATGTGACATCTCATGATTCAATCTTAGTGACACTTCTATCCTCTAATTCACCAATGAACACATACTCTTTGGAGTGTTCTAAATATCTTATAAAGATACATTTCTTACCTTTTGGACCTAATTTACCAAACTTTCTAAAAGGATCTTTTACATATGCAGCACAACCCCAATGTCGTAAATCCTTTAAGTTTGGTTTATGACAGTCCATAGCTCATAAGGAGTGGAAGAAACTGATTTAGAAGGCACTTTGTTCAATATGTAGGATGCAGTCAATAACGCATCTCCCCAAAAGGAGATAGGTAAATTTGCCTGCGCCATCATGGACCTTATCATGTCCAGTAGTGTCATATTCCTCATTTCTACTACACCATTTTGTTGAGGTGTGTACTGAATAGTTAATTGTCTGGTGATTCCCTTTTCAATCCACAATTCTTCAAATTCTTTTGATAGATATTCACGCCCTCTATCAGTTCTTAAGGTCTTAATCCTTTTGTCTAATTGATTCTCAACTTCATTCAAATCCTTTTTAAAGCATTCAAGTGCTTCAGATTTATGAAAAATCAAATAGACATAACCAAAGCGTGTGAAATCATCAATGAACGTAATGAAATATAAAGCACCAGACCTAGCCCTCACATTCATTGGACCACAAATATAAAAATGAATTAATTGCAATGGAAAATTAGCTCTCTTAGCCTTTCCAAATGGTTTACTTGTAATATTTCTGGCAAGACAATTTTCACAAGTTGGCATTTCAATTTTAGAGAAAGAACTCAAATGTTCTCATTTAGCCAATCTATTTATTTGATCCTGCCCTATGTGACATAATCTTGCATGTCATGTAATAACATTAACATCATTATTACTAGAATAACATGCCATAACACAACGGTCAACGTAATAGTTATACGTAGAAGGATTACAATCTAACACAATAAAACCATCATAATGATGTCCAAAACCATAAAAAAACATTGTCTTGAGTAATTTTAAGACCATTGCGACTAAAGTTCAAATTGAAATCTAAATCTAGAAGAACAGACAAAAAGACTAAGTTTCGTCGAATCTCTTAAACATATATGACGTCATACAACATCAAAGATCGGCCACCACGCATGTCCATTCTACAAGTGCCTATCCCTTTAACTTCAAGCTTTGCATTATTTCTCACATATACATGCTTTGATCCAGGTGGAACTCGACGAAACTCTTCTCTATCGCGGCTCATATGGTCGGTGGCCCCTGAGTCTACAATCCACACAGGATAAGATTCCATTAGTAAAACAGTGCTAGAAACATATATATCACTAAACAATACATTTTGAAATACTACCTTTTTCGGCTCAGTGCACTCACGAGCAAAATGCCTGGGACTTGGCAATTGTAGCACTTCATCTTGCTCTTGACTTTCTTCTTATAGAACATTTTTTCTTTCTTGGAATTTGGCTTATTTCTTTTCTTAGAGGATCCTTCTCCGGTCTCCTTACCCTTTCCGTCATTTTTTTAGTTTCTCTTGCGCTTGAAGCTTGATATTTTTGTACCACTTGATTCTGCCACAAAGGCATCATGTACAGCTTTAGCAGCACCATGTCGCTCGTCTTCAAGCTCCACATGACGAGAAATATCAGCAAAAGTTTTGATTGCATCATTGTGGGTCAAATTAACCTTCAGATGTTCCCAATTATTGGGAAGAGACCGAATCACTACATGAACCTGCTGCTCATCAGAGAGAGCATGGATATCACTTTTGAGTTGAGTAATCGTATTTGACATCACTCTTAGATGTTGCTTGACACTGTGATCATGACGTTTTTTTTACGTGTCAAACTTGATTGTCAGCTGTCGAAGGCGAGTCATAGTTGTACCCCCATATGCCTCTCTTAAGTATGCCCGCATGGCTTGAGCAGTAGGATATTGCTCACATTCGCGGATGAGATCATCATCAACTGAACTTACAATAATTCCACGTGCAGTGGATTCTTTCTTTTTCCAAATATTGTAAGTTTTCAAATCCCTCCTGTGTTGGACAATGTTACCCTCATCTGGGTGACTCATAGCATGGTTAATACTTTCAAGAGCATCTTGCTCTTCGAGTACATACCACATTTTACGACTCCATATGTCGTAATTTTCACCATTCAGTTTGTCACCCTTGTTCAAGTCAGCAATGATACTTTTCGATGCCATGTCTGTTATTAAAGACAATATTACACGTTTAACTCATCAATATATATACTACATTCAATTTATGCATGTGATTATACACTCAAGTAAATTAGTTTTAATATTAATTCTATATTAGTATAGAATCGAAAGGTTACTACGTTTTCATTCATCATCTATATCTAAATATTTTAATTAATATTAAATCCACTTCTTAGTGTGTACTTTATTTCAAGCCTCAACCCATTAAAAAAATATAATAAACAATGTATGTAACTGGTGAGACAAATAACTTAATTTAAATTTCATTAAGATAAAACACATAATAACAATTTACATGTTTGCTAAGACATACATGTACCAATCGAATCCTAACTCTTGTACATACACGCTAAAAGGTGCACTAGGCAAAATATCATGATAAATCTCAGTTAAAATTTCACCCTAAGGCTCTCGAAGAGAGTCTGCTAAAATAGCTAATGCTTCCCAATCAGTAATTTCTATGTAATTAGCCAGTTCAACTCTTTTTAACTTAAAAATATACATGTTCAGGAATGGAAGTATCATGGCCCATTTTAAATTCCTTAAACTCCCTAAATTTCTTTTCTCCTTCCCTTCATTCAACCCTTCGATCCCTTAACTCATTTTGTCTCGCCCTTGGGACATTCCTGATGACTTTAGGCTCCGAGTTATAATCATTATAAAAATAAGTCATGCGACGACGTACCCTTCTACGTTGTCCCCTTCCTTGACTTCGAGAACTCCCACTTGGAGTAATTCGAACTTGTCCCTGTTCAGCCACATCTGAAATAGGACCAAGGAAACAATAAGAATGGCTACAACCATCAAATATGACAACATATGCCACAATAACTCGTAAAAGTATATCAATGTAAGGGATTAATGCTAAACTAATTTTCTATATTAAGTAGATAAAAATTCACTTTTTTAGTTTCAACAAGTGAAAGCATATTATGAGAACAAAATGCTTATGAACCAGAAATACATGTTACGTGTGACTTAGGTGCTATTAAGATTGTCTAATCCAAATATCAAATTGTAGAGCATTAGTAGCCGATGAGTAATTAAAACAACTACTAATTGACTCGGTTTGACAAAATATCTCAATCTTGAATCTCTCATTTAGCACAGTAAAATTTGCATTCCAACATTAGCAAATTACAATATTAAAAGCAGTTTCAATGCAAAATACTTTTAAAATTATTATAACTTTTAACAAAGAGATTCGGCATACATACACCTCGTCTGCTAAAATAACCTCCAATCCTGAGATATTATGCTAATTTCTAAGGGAGTTCATAGCAAAAGTTGGAAATTAAGACCCTAATAGCCATAATCACTTCATAAGCAAATATCAGGAAAAAAAAAACTAGTAAGAAGTGGAAATTAAGGCAATGAAGCAAATTAGTAGAGCAACCAATTTTCAATTAAGTTTTATCAGAAACAAATATTCTCTTTAGAATAAAATTACTGCAACATACTGCAATTCATTTTCTGAAAAAAATTGCTTTGGAACAAACAATGATTGGAGGCGAAATTTTTCAACAAAGTTTTCTATTATTCCATGTTTAAAGAATCAAGAAACAACGCTGGCTCTGATGCCAATGATAGTTTAATAATCGCGGGGCGAGAATAACATTAACGTACCTGTCAACGCAACAGAATAATTGTTGAACTCACCACCTAAAGAATTGCCCCAAATCAACCTTTGAATCACTAGGAAACAAAGTGTATTCCCACAAACTAAATGCCTCTTTATCTGTGTGTGTATTTTTATTTGGAGAAGAAAGAACACGAGAAGTTCCTTCAAGAAGGAGAAGAAGTACGTTACTTCTTGGGCAGATTGAGAGAATAATATTTTTTAGATTTTTCCCACCCCACTACTAATAGTGGTTGTATTGGTTTAAACTGCCAGGGTAACATCCCTGTAACCTTCCAATCTTATCCTCTTTCAAAACGGATCGGGTCAGTCCACATGGGCGACCCATAACTTATAACCCAATATCCTACACAAACCTTCTTTATTAGTTTTTTTTTAAAACAAATATATAGTTTAAATAAGAAAGCATTTAATATGAAAATTTTTGCTGATTTTGAAATCGTGAACATTAAGAAAATTAAATGACTATTCACTAATATTAGTAAAATAGTTAAATAACTATTTAGTTTAGTGTAAATTTTATTTTTGTAGTAGCTCTATCCAAAGACCGTAGAATAATAACTTCTTTTATAAATGTGCTTGCCTATATAATTCGGGAAAAAAATTATGTAAGGTAAAATTGTATAATTGAAATAGACAACCAAAAAAAATTTAAGGACTCCTAACTCAAAAAGAATAAAAAAGAAATCTAAACTAAAAGGAATAGCAAGTGCTCGAAATAAGAGATTATCTTAACCGTAAAAGGAGTTGTAATAAGTTAAACTTATAAAGGAACTCCTAAAAACCAAAAAGAATTGCAACTTTTACGCTTGCCTCATGTGTAGTTTAAACTTTAAATGAGAAAAGAATTTTAGTCTTAGGTGATTTAAAATTATATTCTCAAATTATATAAATATTTAAGGTTATAAAAATCGATCAATGTTTCGAGTATATTTTAGTCGTTCAATATTTGACATAAATTATTTGTACTTTTATAATAATATAGATAGATAGATAAATATAGATATAGATAGATATAGGTATAGATATATTGATAATTAAAGATATAGATAGTCTGATTTTTCTAATTTGTGATTAATGAACAACTTTTTTTAAGCCTTCCATAAAAAAGAACTCCAATTGAATATTGGCGGAAGAGTCCCCGGGCGGGAAAATCAGCAAATCTGAGACTTCTTCTCGGGAAGAGTTCACACTTCACCCTAAGGAATCAGGATGGAGAGAATCCACGTGTCTGTGAGAGCGAGGCCTCTGTCGCCGGAAGATGCAAAGTGCAGCCCCTGGCGAATCTCCGGCGACTCTATCTTCATTCCCAACCAGCCCGCCAAGTTTGATTTTGGTTCGCTCTCTCACTTCTCTCTCTAGGTTTTCCCCCTTTTCTCATCATCTACTCATTTTGTTTCTTCACTTTTTTCTTTGGATATGCAGATAGAATCTTCGGGGAGGAATGCACAACGCTTGAAATCTACAAAGCTCGAACTAAAAATATTGTTTCTGCTGCAATTCAAGGATTTAATGGTATTTTACGCCTCCCTTTTACTTAATTTTTGGCATTTGTTGTAATTGTCGTCTTATTTATTTTTCACTTCTGCCGGTCGCCGGGCACAAGTTTGGAATGCAGTTTTCCTTTCCTTTTATTTTTGAACTAAAAACACTGTACCTGTTACTATTTGAGCTCCTAAGACACTTTAATAGAGAGATGTTGCGCGTTTAAAATTTAAGAATGAACTCAGTGCAGTTGGGAAGACCAGAAGGTTAGCAACAAAAAGTTAAACATTAAAGAGCTCTGTTAGGAAAATGTCTTGTATTTTTCCTATTCAATTTGATAAGTTGTTTGGTGGCAATTTGTTTTTAAGTTACAGTACGTTGGTTGTCAAAATGTCAGTCCGGTGCACAAAACATCCCGCATTCACGCAGTATCTGGGAAAGGACCACACTCCTAGGGGTGTAATGTCGACATCCTACCCTAATGCACCCTAATGCAAGCATTAGTGGCTGTTTCCACGGCTCGAACCGGTCACATGGAGACAACTTTATTATTGCTCCAAGGCTCCCCTTCTGTAGGTTGGTTGTCAACTTGATTACAAATTAGAGTAAGTTGACTTGCAACTTGATTACTAACCTGGAGTAAGTTAGCTTGCCACTTGATTTTGACCTAGAGTGAGTTGGCTTGCAGCTTGGTTACAACTAGAAGCCAGTTGTCTTGCAACTTGATATGAATCGAAGTCCATGAAAACAAGATTCCAATTGATTGGGTACGATGTTGAAAAATGTTAAATTGACTTTATATTATAAGCTACATGGAAAACAAATATTAAAGTAGTGGCTGAAAAGTTGATTTAACAGAGAGAATATCCCATTGAGTTCTAAATTTGAATAGTGTAGTAATTTTGAATTATTGAAAGCTTGAAATTTGTATATAAGAGGAATAGCGTCAAATATTTTGGGACGTCCCAAAATGAAAATAGTGTCGTATAAATTGGAAAAGAGGAAGTATATAACTAATAACACTCACATACTATGTGAAGAAGATATATTACGATTGAAATTCTTTAAGATCATTATCCTTGTGTTTGAAATGATTTCTAGGTTGCAAATGATTCTAGCAAAAAGTTGTGAGGATAGAGTAAGTGAGAGGAGTTCTGGTTTTGCAAGATTAGCAAAATACATAAGACATATCTGCGCTTGCCATTAGGAGCAGGTCACAAATCAGTTGACATCTGACATGGAGTTATTGGCAAAGCAGAGAGGAAAGCATCAAACTGGAATAGACAATTTTTGTCTTTGATTTAGAAGGATGGTGATGATCGGAAAGTTGAAAGAGTGGGACAATTGTTGACGAAGCTTAGGAGTTAAGCAAGGGACCAAGCTCCATTATCTGGTACAACAACAACTATGCCGTAGTTCTAAACAAGTTGGGGTTGGCTGTACGAAACCTCATTGACCATGTTTATAATTAATTCATCTAAACCAATCTTATACAAAATAAAAATAAAAGTGTTAGACATTCTATCTAAAAAAAATCTAATAGGGCAAGAAGACTCCTACAAAATGCAGGACTTAAAATAAATATACTAACATGATTAAAGCATATTTCTATATTTATTGGTGTCATACATATACAATTATACATATTTTTCTTCCATTTTTGCTCTATCTTTTGCAAGTATGCATGGATTCCAAGAGATTTTAGGTCTTTCGAGACAACTCCTTCAATGTGATTTTAGGTCTACCTTGTCCTCCATTAACACCTTTATTCAGCATGGTTTATATTGCATTGATTCCATAAAAACCAAAATCACTTGATCGGTACATGTACATACATCAACCAAGTCAACATAAAACTCAAGATATTTCTTCGAATCATGAAATGAAGAGATTCTACTAGTTTCCTAAACTAAATTCTTGGAGAAGAAAGAATTTTCTTTTGATCCCACTTACTAAGTTTCTTGTTTTTACTTCCACGGACCGATGCATTTGGAGGTCGATGCAGGATATGATAAAAATATCTCAAGAACATTCTCTCATTTTACTGTGTGCTACTTGCAACTTCTGGCGAATATGATCCATTTTTAAGTTTGTCTAATCTTGCATGACTGCACATCCCTCTTAGCATCTGCATCTCGACACTCATTTTATGGACGTGTTAGACTTTAGCAACCGAACATTCACTCTCATATAATATTACTGGCCTTACAACTATTTTATAGAACGTACCATTCACTTTGGTAGGCAATTGTCCATTTCAGCCATTCGATTCTGATTCTTTGTGTAACATTTTCTTCTATCATTACATATGCTAGAACAATGAGCCTAGAGATCTGGTCTAGAAATATAGATATGTAGTTCATTGTGAAAGATTTCTCTAAAGCTTTGATTTTCAATTCCTTTTATAGTCCACAACGACATCAAAATAAGATTTATGTTAAGAAAATAACCTTACATCTAACTCAATTCTAATAACTAGCCATGAAATGAAAATTGCCCAAGACTTTAAAGTGATTACAACCTATATCCTCAACCAATATGGGATTCTAACCCCCTAGTATGCTCAGTATAAGACATGTAGGGTGTAGATATGAGGCCAATATTGGGTAATCAAATATCATGGATGAGTTTGACTCAGATACCATGTTAAAAAATGGACCTACGACCTAACTTAATCCCAAAAGGTAAGCTACTGAGGTGAAGATTACCTAAGACCATATAAGAGGCGCTATACCATATCCTTAACCAACGTGGGAATTTTAACAATTTGAAAAATCAAAGCCCATTATTAGGACATGTTTTTGTTGAGAGGAAATCAGTGACGTTTTTCTACGCAAAAACTTATAGAAAAGAGGTCTGGATGTTTTGCCGTTAAAGTGGGCTTGGCCCGTGAGGCTAGCGCAACCCAACCGATTATTTGGATAGGGTTGGGCTTAGATTTGTTGACCCATTCAGAAGAATCGAGGCTATTAGGTCTGACCCCAAGTCAGCCAGATGACCATTGAGGCTTGGCTGCGATTGGGCTCATGCCAGCTTATGAGCCAATTTTAATAGAAAAAAATAGAAATAGCGGGTTGGCTATTGATAATCATAAAACACAAATAGCTGGACAACAATTACTATTTGCAGCCGGATAGCCACATTATTTTGTAGCCAAAAAATTAACATAAATCATTGAAACCCCACCCTTCTACCACTTCACTGTCCTCTTCACAACCATCTCCATCTTTCTCTACCATAAACAAACAACAACAATTTGGTACTCATACTTAAACAACAAAGAGAGAGAGAGAGACACACAAAGAAAGAAGCAATTTCACAGCGCCACATCTGGAACAAATGAAGCCAATCCCAAATAATAAACTAGGATATCAGGAAAGTGAATGTTTAATTACAATTTTGCGATGGGGAGATCGACGAGGATGTCACGCACTATATAGAGGTGAGGTAGATGAAATTGAGGTTAGCATCTGGAGTCCTGTGTGACAATAATGTGCCTCCAAAACTTAAAGTTAAGTTCTATAGAGCGATGGTTAGACCGGCGATGTATGGGGCTGAGTGTTGGTTAGTCAAGAATTCACATATCTAAAAGATGAAAGTAGCAGAAATGAGGAGGTTGAGATGGATGTGCGGGCACACTAGGCTGGATTAGATTAAGAATGAAGATATTCAGGAGAAGGTGTGCGTGACTCCCATGGACGACAAGATGCGGGAAGCAAGGCTTAAATGGTTCGGGCACGTGCGGAAGAGAGGCCTAGATGCTCCGGTTAGGAGGTGTGAGTGGTTGGCTTTGGCGGGTACGAGAAGAGGTAGAGGGCGGCCTAAAAAGTATTGGGGTGAGATGATCAGGCAGGACATGACGCGATTTCATATTTCCGCGGACATGGCTCTTGATAGGAAGGTGTGGAGGTTGAGCATTACGGTTGAATGTTATGAGGTAGTCGGGCGTTTTTCAACTTCGTACTAAGGTGAGGCTACTCTGATAGTGTTTTGTCTTGGACTGCTAGTGGTTTATGTTGTGTTCATACTATTTTTTCGTTTTTTCATAGTACCGGGTCATTATTACTGGTTATTATTATTGCTTTTCCATCTATTTTCTGTCTCTTACGATGTTGATATTATTTTTCTAGCTTCTGTTGCTGTTACGGATCTATTGTCTCTTTTCATCTTCTTGAGCCGAGGGTCTTTCAGAAACAACCTCTCTACTCCTCCGGAGTAGGGGTAAGGTCTGCGTATACACTACCTTCCCCAGACCCCACTTGTGGGATTTTACTGGGTTGTTATTGTTGTTGTAGTTTATAATGCATATGCATTTATTATACATATTATACATTGAGGTGAAAGATTGGGACTCTGTTTTCAAACATCTTTTGGAGTGCAATGGATGATGCCTAAGGATGTGGAGAGTTTGCTGCTATGTTGGGTTAGACAGAGAGTTTGAAAAGAGCTGAGACATATCTAGAGGACTGTCCGGTCTGCATCATGTGGTCTAGTTGGCTTAAAGGAATAAAAGATGTTTGAGGATAAGAAAGCACTCATCTTTTGTAAAGTATAAATGCATACATAGTCTATTCCCGGGTAGGCTGCCTACATTCACTCCCTTGGGGTGTGGCTCTTCCCTGGACCCTGCGTGAATGCGGAATGCTTAGTGCACCGCGTTGCCCTTTTAAATGTATACATAGTCTATGACTCTATTCTTCTGGTGTCGGATCACACATCACAGGTTAGAGGATATGGCATAGCTTGTTGACTTTTTTTTGGGGGGGCTCTATGATGTTAAAGATGTAACGGTGCCACTGTAATGTCCTTTTCTGTACCTCTTGCAGTACCTCCTGCTTGGTACTAGCTTTACCTAACTTCATAAAAAGAAAATATATGTTTTTTAATCTACTGATCCGCCTACTTATCTTCTTTTGCAGGGACTGTCTTTGCATATGGTCAGACAAGTAGTGGAAAGACACATACTATGAGAGGATTAGCAAACGAACCTGGAGTCATCCCTATGGCTGTGCAAGATCTGTTTAATTTCATTGGAGAGGTTCGGCATTGTCATTAGATCAATTTGCACTCCTTCAACCATTAATTGCATTCATGTCGCCTTCATATTTTTGTCATTCTTTAATGATAACTTTGTCTGCAACTTCAATAGATTGAAAAGAAATAAGTTTATTTACTGGACAACAACTTGTCATAAAGGCGATTCTAGGTCTTTTTTCAAGTTTTAAAGTCATTTTGCGGTTCTTGCAGTTACTATTTTCTGAAATTTGCTTATGTTTTCCTATAAAACTGCTCCATAGTTTAGGACTTGGTGAAGAGGAGTTTTAGGGGACACCAAGGAAAGCAATTTCTTCCAGCTACATCACACGTGTGGCACAAAACATTAGATTCTTATGCTTCAGCTTAGTACACTGGGGAATCCTCAAAATGAGTCAAACACTAGCTAGCTGAGACTTGACAGTCAACCAGATTTTTTCTCTTTATTTCTTATGTCTCCAACAGTCTTATGATAGTTGCAACCTCTATACAGACAGTTCCAACAATCGAATCAAAGAAAAAAGGCACTAAACCTATTTGGCGAAAGAAAGATAGGAAATGAGCATATTGATTCATCTATTTGCAGCTCAAGGATTGAAAGTCTTAGCGTCTTGATTCCCTTCTTAACCTGAAATGAAATGAACATAGGGAAAGATTGATCATCGGATTCATTTCCTTGTTAGAAAGAGCCCAAGAGTGACTTTTTGATAGAAAAGATACTGCCCTGATGAGTGATGAATAAGGGAAGTGACAAGCCTCTTCTGTTTGTGCTGATTTAAGTTCGGTTTTTCGATTGCATAAGAAACTAATGAAATATCATCTTTTATGACTTATCAAACGTTTTTAAAAAAAATATGTTGCACTGTTGTCCTGTGCAACATGCTCATTCCTTAGAAACTTCTTTAGTACATGAAGTCGGTTCTGCCTTTTCAAAAATTTAATAAGTACCAATGTATGATATTGTTTCCTGGAATTTTAGGAAAGGGATAGAGAGTTTCTTCTACGGATGTCGTATATGGAAATCTATAATGAGGAGATAAATGATTTGTTGGCTCCAGAGCACCGAAAGTTGCAAATCCATGAAAGTGTAGAGGTAATGATTGTTTTGGTTTCGCATCATTGTTTTGTAGTTGCACATGAACTGTCAGCATAGTTTGGCTTTCATCCTGTTGCTGATCTGGCATGTAGCGGGGAATATTTGTCGCTGGCTTAAGGGAGGAAATTGTCGCCTCTCCTGATCAAGTGCTTGAACTCATGGATTTTGGAGAATGTGAGTTAAAAGTATCATCAATTTGTGTATGTCCTCTCATAATTGTTTTTTTGATAAGGTAAATTGTATTAATCAAAAGGGAGAAAAAACTCCCGCATACAAGAAGTATACAAAAAGTAGAGAATTTATATCAGAACATGATTCTCTACAAATGACGCCCAATCTTATACACAAGTAGGGGCTACATGTGTGCACCAAAAGGCTATCAAAGATAAAAGACTATTCTAAAGGTGTGAAAACGGAGACTCAATCCCCTAAAAAACTCTCCTATTTCTCTCTCCCCAGACTAACCACATGAGAGCTAACAGGGCGAACTTCCACGCCTTTTGCTTGCTTCTTCTACGGAAACCGGCCCAGCTATATAGTATTTCCTTTACAGTGTTTGGCATCACCCATTGAACACCAAAAAGATTCAGGATTGCCCTCCATAAACCCCAGGACATAGGGCAATGCAACATAAGATGATCAACTTCTTCCCCTGAGCTTTTACACATGTAGCACTAACTAACATGTGTAATTCCTCTCTTTCGCAGATTTTCAGATGTCAAGATCACTCCCCTCGCTGCTAGCCATGCAAAGAAGCACACCTTCGTGGGCGCCTTAGGAATCCAAATCGATGAGTATGCGAAAGTAGTCTCCTGTCTCACCAACATACTCTGGTAGAAGGACTTTACGGTGAACAAGCCATCGCCACGCAACCTCCATCTCCAAGAATCATAAGATGGATGGGGCATATCTTGCCCGTATAGCAGAGCCAACAAATTTTGGAGCTCCGCAATCTCCCAATCTTGCATGTTCCTTCTAAAAGAGAGGTCCCATACTATCCCCCTTCATGCTCCTTGCGAATTTGTTGGACCATCAATTCCTTCTGGTTTGAAACTCTGAAGACGTGGGGGAAAGAGACCCTCAGAGTAGCCTCTCCACACCACCTGTGATTCCAAAAGCTGATTCTCCTTCCATCTCCCACCTTGTAAGTGATGTTGCCATAGAAAGCTTCCCAGTTCTTCATGATGTTCCTCCACATGCCACACCCGAACGGTGCTGTGATTGCCTTGGTCCTCCAACCCCCTCCCGTGGAATCGTACTTTTCTGCTATGACCTCCCTCCATAGAGCATGCTCTTCTACCTCGAATCTCCACAACCACTTCCCCAACAAAGCTCTGTTGAATACCCTGAGATCTTTTACTCCAAGTCCACCCCACTTCTTTGGGGAAGTGACTGTCTGCCAATTCACTAGATGAAACTTTCTAGTTCCATCTGCCGCATCCCAAAGAAAATTCCTTTGAAGTCGCTCCAGTTTTTCTGTGATGCTCACAGGTGCTTGCAACAGGGATAAGTAATAGGTAGGGATACTTGACAAAGTGNCTTTTGACAAATACCGTTTTTGCCAACCTGCTAATCGTTTTTCAACCCTTTAAATGACTGGATTCCAAACAGTAGTATCATTTTGCAAAGCGCCCAATGGTAGACCCAGGTAAGTAGTGGGAAGAGAGCCCATCTTGCATCCGAGAACATGAGACAAAGCATTAATGTTAGCAACCTCACCTACCGGGAAAATCTCACACTTGCCGAGGTTAATTTTGAGTCCTGATACTATCTGAAACTACTGCAGTACCTGCTTCAGGCAGGTCAATTGGTCCATATCGGCATCACAAAAAACCAGGGTGTCATCCGCAAAAAGCAAATGAGAGACCCTTCNTACTGATGAAATGCAGAACTTGATCCACCCCCTCCATATTTCCCCAAACCCCATCCGCTTCATAATGAAGTCCAGGAACTCCCAATTGACATGATCGAAAGCCTTCTCAAGGTCCAACTTGCACAGTAATCCGGGTTCTCTATTTTTCCTTCTGGAGTCTACAAGTTCATTTGCCACCAGAGCAGCATCCAGGATCTGCCTACCTTCCACAAACGCATTCTGGGAGGACGAAACAGACGCGTCAAGAACCTTCNTTCCTGAGTCTGTTGGAGAGCACTTTAGAAATAATCTTGTAAATGCTCCCCACTAGACCGATAGGCCTATAGTCTCTGATGCAATATGCGCCTTCTTTCTTAGGCACAATGGTAATAAAAGAAGCATTGATGCTTCTCTCGAAAGCACCATTCAAGTGGAAGTATTCGATGGCTTCCATCAACTCCCCCTTGACGGTGTTCCAGCAAAGCTGGAAGAAGGCCAAGGAGAAACCATCAGGCCCAAGGGCCTTATCACCAGCACAACTCGACACAGCATCGTGCACCTCCTCCTCCTCGAAAGCTCTTTCTAGCCACACATTGTCTCCCTCCCCTATGTGGTTGAACTCTATTCCCCCAAAGTAGGCCTCCAACTAACTTCTTCTTTGTATAAGTTCTCATAAAATCCCACTATCGTCCCTTTTACCTCCTCCTCTCCCTCGATCCTCNACTCTATTCCCCCCAAAGTAGGCCTCCAACTAACTTCTTCTTTGTATAAGTTCTCATAAAACCCCACTATCGCCCCTTTTACCTCCTCATCTCCCTCGATCCTCACCTCATCTACAACAAGGGACTCTATGAAGTTTCTCCTTTGATTTGTAACGCAACCCTGTGGAAGAACTTGGTATTCGAATCCCCCTCCTTTAACCAGAGCGCCCTTGATTTTTATCGCCAACTAGTCTCTTGAGCTATTGCTAACTCGACTATTTCACTTTTAACCTTCCCCAATCTCACTTTCTCAGGTTCATCTAGCTCCCTCGCCCCTTCCCCTCTCTCTAATTACTCCAATTCATGCATAAGCTCCCTTATTTTGACCTCCACCCTCTCGAAGACCTCCTTATTCCACCTAATAATATCTCCCTTGAGCAATTTGAGTTTCTTCGACAGACGGAATGAGGGTGACCCTGATACCCCGTAGCTGGTCCACCATTCTTGCACTTTGTCACAAAATCCTGGCACTTTCAACCACATGTTCTCGAACCGGAAGGGAGCACGGACTCCCTCCCTCTGCATCCATCTAGCAAGATGGGCAAGTGATCCGAAGTTAGCCTAGGTAAAGGGGTCTGCAACACATTCGGCACCGGCTCATCCCAGGAGGACGATATCAGAAATCTATCGAGTCTGGACCTTGAGTTTGAATCCTCCGCCCTGGCCCAAGTAAACCTTTCCCCTGACAAAGGAAGATCAATGAGAAAGTGATCATTGATGAAGTCAGAAAACTCCTCCATGGCCCTCGAGATCAAATTGCACCCTAATCTCTCCTCCAGGAATCTAATAGTATTAAAGTCTCCCCCTAGAACCCATGAAATATCTCATTCCCCCATAACATTGGCAAGTTCCTCCCAGAAAAACATCTTGGACCCTTCCCCTACCGGCCCGTACACTCTCCCAAATCCCCACTCCACCCCACTCACTCTATCTTTGACGAGAGCTGCCAAAGAGAAAACTCCCTTCCTAATCTTCTTTACCTCCAAGCTTCTATCATCCCACTTAAGTAGAATGCCCCCGGCACTTCCCGCTGCTGGGATCCAGTCATATTTCACCCAACTACCTCCCAGACACTTCTCACGATCGCATCCGACAAAACTTCCATTTTGGTCTCCTGAAAACAAACTAGGTTGGCACCCCATTCCCTAACTCCCACTTTGATGATGGCCTTTTTGTTTGGGTCATTCATCCCCTGACATTCCATGAAATGATCTTAACTTCCATAAGCAACAATAGCCCCCTTTTCCCCACCCCCCTAGCCGAGGTCCCTTTCTCCATGTCACCCCTTCTCTGATACACCACTACATCCCCAATTTATTTTTGATTAACACCTTTACCCAACTCCTTCCCCGTGCCTTCGTAACAAGGCTGTTTCTCAATCTCCCTCAACAGTTCTAGCACCCTATCTTCCTTCCCTTCAAAAGAAACACCTAAGAACTTCCCAAAGTTTAATAGTTTATCCTCCATCCATAAGGACATATCCCCTTCTCCAATCCGTGACGAAATTGGACATGCATCTTCTGTAATTACCTTTCCCTTCCCCCTACCGGAAGAATGCAAGACCATGTCATTGCTAGTAATAGGAACTCTGGGTGCCGGGTGGATCACATCGTTTCTTTGAGAGGCACCAACCTCAGGAATTAATGCCTCTCTTGGAGGAGATTGTATTGTAACCCCAACACATCTAAGCACAGTGGGAGATGAGGGGACGATGGAGCTGGGTCCATCGGAGGCGGGGGGCCGTAGAATAACACCGCCAGCTTTAGCCGGTGCTGCCCCTGGAACAGTGGCCGAAGAGGGGCACCAGTCCCTAGTGCTTGGTGAAGAAATAACACTGTGTGAGGCATCATTGGTAGAAGAAGGAGGAGTGACTGCTCCCATATGTTTAGGAGCCTAATCGGACGCAGCTTGATATAATCTGGGCCGCTCCTTTGGATCGATTATAATAGAATTGGGAAAAATTGCTGGGCCCATGTGTGGAGGCCCAGGCCTATGCTTGCTGAAATCTTGCCCGACCCTATGATAGTTAATAGAGGACCGACCCATTCTGCCTTTCCAGTCCGCATCACTAACCCATTCACGTCTTTTCTTCCTGTTAAAATTTTGTCTTCTTCTCCCAAAATCAAACCTCCCGTCACTTCTTGATCTACCGTCTGATTCCAGCTTAGTCCACTTATCCGGTGAGCCCTTCCCTCCCCTCAGAAAGTGATTTCCCCTTCCCTCCTTTCTATTTGACCTTTCCTCTTCTTCCGCCAAAATCACAGGCATAAAGATAGGGCGAAATTCAGGGATCAACCAAGCCCTGTAGCTCAAGTAGCCATCTTCCACCACAGTGGAGACAAGGATTCTGCCCCCTTTCCTCATCACAATCCTTACTCGCGAGAGATCGTGCAAGCTGCAAGTGACATCAATGAAACCCCCACAGATTTTCCCAACCTTCTTGAATAGGTCAAGACACCAGAGGTGCACCGGGAGACCGACCATGTTGACCATCAATGTTTTGAGACACCCATCGTGCTCCACCCATCTGTCTAACTTTAAGAAATTCCCGTCGAACAACCTGTTTCCTCTGACAAGAATTTCTGACGCTTGAGACTCGTCGACAAATCGAAAGAGATATTGTGTGTCCCCCAGTTGCGATATTTTCGGCCCGTCCTTGACGTTCCATGCCTCTGCTGCCCAGTTCCTAACAACTTCTGGAGAACCAACCCACCCAATCAAACAAGAGTCCAAGAAACCTTTACGCCTGAGAGTGTGCTCCTCGGACAACGAGAAGTGTGGCTCCTGCCCTACGTCAAGCTTTCGCTGGCATCTTCCCCCAAGTTCGAGGGCTGGCCAAGATGCAGCTTTGCTAAAAGACATGCTTTCCAATTTTCTAGATTCTAGGGAGAAGTAGGAGCTTCTCTCTGAAGAGTCCGTCATGGCTAAACCAAGAGCCTCGCGAGGAGACTGACTGAAGAAGAGAAAGTGAGAGGGAGTGAAATCTGGCCGGAAAAAGACACCTCTGTCGCCGGAAAATAGCAAAAGTGATCGGAAGTTGGAGGTTGATGGATGGGTGAGATCGGAACAGCTTCGCGAAGAGGCTGTCTGAAGGAAAAAAATTGGGATCTGGCCTGGAAAGGCGTCACGCGCCGGCGCGTGGGCTAGGGGTGGTCAGAGATCTGCCGCGAGTGACGGCGCGTGGGGTGTCAGATCCCGGCGATTCTTGCTGGGGTGGTGTCGCGACAAGGTTGGCTCTCGGATGGTGGTGGTGAGGTCCTAGGATTCATGATTCATGGTGGTGGTGAAGGGATGGGTTGGGGTGTCTGTCCCTACCGCATATGCAAGAAGGGCTGTTGATTATCCTCTCATAATTGTTTTTCTTTGAAAGTATCTTATATGCTCCAATTTATCTAATAACAAAGGCTCCACTGTGAATATTGGTCTTGAGAGCATACTGCCAAACATTTCCGTGCCCTAAAGATTTGGTTTTCATCTTTAAAGAAGTGCTGCTTCCAAAATCCCCTCTTGTTCTTCTGCCTTATTATTGGCTACTCTATCTCGAATGAATGTCAGCTTCAGCAAGAGTAGAAGTCCTCACAGTTTGTTTTGCAGGTCATCGACATATTGGAGAAACTAATATGAATGTATACAGCAGTAGGTCACACACAATTTTCCGGATGGTAAGATACGCTTGAGTGACTATACTAAGATATGAGAAATACATTCACGTCTTAAAATTTATACTTAACAGATAATTGAGAGTAGGGAGAAGGCTGAAGATACAAAAACAGACAATTCTTGTGATGCAGTCCGTGTATCTGTTCTGGTATGCAGTATGAAGTTCTTACATTCTCTTTTTAAGATGCTATTATTTATGTAGAAAAATCTATAAGGATGCTCTTTCTGTCCTCACATTTTCCCAGAACCTGGTGGACCTTGCTGGTTCAGAACGTGCTGCCAAAACCGGAGCAGAAGGTGTTCGCCTAAAAGAAGGTTCCCACATCAACAAAAGCTTGATGACTTTAGGAACTGTAATAAAAAAACTAAGTGAAGGTGCTGAGAGTCAAGGGTAAGTTTGTTATGTGTTGACTTTGGTTCCGTAAAGCGTTCTCCTACTTGTACTAATGTGTTATGCAATCTTGCAGGGGTCACGTTCCGTATCGAGACAGTAAACTAACACGTATCTTGCAACCTGCACTGGGTGGAAATGCAAACACTGCCATCATATGTAATATCACTCTTGCCCAGGTAAATGTTTTGTGCTTAATATATTTATGGTAGGCTGAAAAGCACCTATAAAATACATAAGTCCTTGTGTTGGTGCACAACATTCTCTATGGAATCTTCAATTTCATAATTTTTTTTTTGATTTCTTTAGAGAACTTTAAAACAGAATAAATGAAATTTCAATGTCTATCATGTCAAAACTTTCTTAGAATATCTTTTATTAAAAAAGTTCCATGATAAAGCAATCTGCGGCTGATGGAAACTACTGCTACACTGATCTTGGTATGCTGATCTTACTGTACAATGGTAGGCATGTCTGCCTCAGATCATGTCTGCCTCAGATCATGTCTACTTGTATCACAATAATATGATTGTGTCCAAGTGTTTTCCCTGTAGACTTACAATTTGTATATCACCATTGCAGTTCACTACAAGTGTTTTCCTTTTAAGATTTACAAGTTATTATAGTGCTATTGTGATATCATTTTTCGGTTTTCAGCAATTTATTTAACAAAATGATTATGTAATGAACACACAAGTTGACTATCGATGAACTGGCCTTCTGTTTTCCACTTAATGCTGCTGACTTTTTGAGTACAGTAGCTCAAAATTGTCTTCGGATCATTCTTTGTCTTCTCTCATTTTTCAGTGTGGAGGGCTCGAGTACCTTTCAATTTGCGTTAACCATGATAAATATGCAATGGGACCACCTTTCAAAAATATAGTGTGTCACAGGCAGAATTTTCTTTTCATCACATATTGTGCTAGTGGATCATATAATGCTTGGATTACCATGTGTCTATGATTCTTCTTTCTTTCTTCCTTTTTTCTGCCTTTGGTTTTCTCGTGGGGCTTTCTGCTTGATGCTAGGTTCATGCTGACAGTTTCTGGTTTTCTATTTTAATAATGCATTTTCTCCTTGATGCCAGATTCATGCTGATGAGACTAAAAGTAGTCTTCAATTTGCAAGCAGGGCATTGCGGGTTACAAATTGTGTTCACGTGAATGAGGTTAGTTATTTTATTGCATTCTGCACTTCATAATATTTTTTCATTACTTCAAACAATTTCCATATGGAATTCACGAAGTGCATGTCTAATTCATGCACCAGAAAGCAAGCCATCACTTGGCTTTCTTTATGCCTCTTACTCATGTCTGCTGTTAGTCTGAGTTGCTTCTGGCTTGCACTTTCTTTTTACCTTTATATGATGCCTGTTTTATTGCATCTTAACTTATCTGCAATTCTACATTTGATACCAGATATTGACTGATGCTGCATTGCTCAAGCGTCAAAAGAAGGAGATTGAGGAGCTGCGAGCAAAATTGCAGGTTGTGCAAGCAGTCAGGCCTGTTTGTTATTTAGAAATGGTTGCATTGATATGTTGACCAACCTATGTTTTTTAAACCATTGAAGGCATCACATTCAGAACATCCTGATGAAGAAATATTGAATCTTCGGAACACTTTACTGAAGGTTTGTGATGATTACTTCATAGTTGCTTTGCCAATTATATGAGTCTCAAAGGTGTAATATTTTTAACAGAGTGAATTGGAGCGGGAACGAATTGCGTTAGAGTTGGAGGAGGAAAAGAAAGCTCAGGTTGAAAGGGAGAAGAGGTTACAAGAGCAAGCCAAGAAAATTGAGAACTTGAGTTCTATGGTGCTATGCTCAAATAGGGATGAGGCTCGTGATACCTATAAAAAGGTAAGTTAGTGGATTTCAATCTCTTCATTGCTTTACTTGCTTTTGAATCCCTCCTAGAAGCACTACTGTTTAAGAGTGTAATTTCAACAAGTTGGCAGTGCTTCACTGTGTGAAATTGACAAATAAGATTCAATTTTTAACATATTGCTGGAACTTCACCTAATCTACTGCAGAGCAAAGACTCGTAAAAGCAATTAAATCATTTTTTTCAGTACAGAAGTCTTTTTTCCATCTCTTTTATCAGGTAATTGGGTTCCTAGTTCTTTTTCTTTTACCTTCTATGATCCCTTGAATCCTAGATGTGATTTCCTTGGACGCTTTCTTTATTGTTTCTCGTTACTCCCTTGATTCTGCCTCCAGTCCAGTATTAGCAAATTGGAACTGATCCTCAATTTAGTAAGTGATAGGAAATGGACATTGAGCCTAACTCAACTTCAAAAGCTAACTCATGAAGTGAGAATTGCCCAAAAACATATAAAGAGGCCAAATCACCTCTCCACAACCAATACAAGAATTCTGACACCCCTCCAGGCCTGTCAACTGGAGCATGGACAACATAATATGGGTCCAACATCGGGTACCAAGAATTGGGATGGGTGTGGTTCTTATACCAAGATAAGAAATGAACCTTGGACCTAACTCAATCCTAAAAGCTAGCTCATGAGGTGAGGATTGCCCAAGATGTGAGAATTCTGATATTAAGCTTTCTCGTTGCTCAAGTGCCTTACATTCTCTTTCAATCCTAGTCACATGAACTGGCATTGCCTACATGCAACTCCATATCAACAAGAGGTATCGGCCATATATACTCTTTTGCCCTCTTTCTCTAGCCTCACAAGTCTTGCCATATTCTTTAATTACCCAACGCTGCTTTAGATTTTGACCAGACTTAATTGCAGCATCTGGTCTATTATGGTAGCAAGTCCTAAGAGCTCTTTTGGATAATCGATAAATCCTCGAGGCCAGTTAGCAAGCACAATTCGAAGCTCGGTGGATAATGAGCCTGCACCTCTTGGCTTGGGCTGCCTAACCCACACCTCATGCACTATGCTTTTACCCTTGAATAAAAGCCCTACCGACAAGTCTAGAGATTTTAAATTTTAAGGATCTTGGTTTAGATGAGATAGCCACTTTATTAATAATGTGTTATAAAGTAGTAGATGCTCTTTTTTTTAATCCTTTTTGGGGATAGGTAACTTGCAATTTTCATTGTTGAAGCTCTAAAAACCAATAGATCTTCCCTGAAACTAATTTGTCTACTGCTTCTGCTTAAATATTTGTGCAAACATATATTAGTTGGGAAATTTTGCAATGTTTCAAAAATTGCCCCTTCCAGGGTGCGTCTCAAGGCTAGGTGAGGCCTGGTTACTGTAAGGCATCCAGGTCCAGGGAAAAAGTATGCAAGTGATACATCTTTTGTCACACGGAGTTCAACTTTTTCGTGCCCAAGCAAAAAAATAAATTTAAAGTTTCAAGTTAGTATTTTTTGCTTATTTTAGGAACCTGCAGTTTCTGCATTCATGAAATGCCCCAATAACCTCCATCAACTCCCTCTCACTATGCTCCGGCACTACTGAAAAAAGGCCAATGTGAAGCCATCAGGTCCAGGAGCCCTGTCACCAGCACAACTCTCTACTGCCTCCTACACCTCTTCCCCAATAGACCTCTCAAACCACTCACTATTTGGTTGAAATTATTCCCCCCCCCCAAATAATCACCCCTTTTTACCTCCTTCGCTCCCCATTTACCTCGAGAGAATATAAAGTTCCTCCTACGGTTTGCAACTGCTACCCTATGGAAGAACTTAGTGTTAGAATCCCTTTCTTTTAACCACAACGCCCTCAACTTTTGACTCCACATAGTCTCTTGTGCTATTGCTAACTCAGTTAACTCCCTCTTCACCTCCCCTTACCGAGTCTGAGACCTTCCAGCTAGTTTCTGCAATACAAAAAATTGAGCTCATTTGGGATTATAGTTTAAAGTAGTGGCTTTGCTCTATGCTAGATTTTTTGGGTGATATCCAATGAATTCTTAAGGATTCATAGTCCTTTCTTGGAAGAATGCCCAGGGGCATAACAAATTTTCTGTTCGAGTAGAAAATTCAAAATCTGCTACCAATTCCTAAAATAGGCCTTTTACTTTGCATTTCTGGAAAAATTGCTTATGTAATCTTAGTCAATGAGGGCAATACGACATGCATCACTCATTAGCATTTGATTTGGTCTTCTACCCTTAGCTTCCTTTTATTTCCGTTCTCTTGTGATTAATTTGATGTTATATCGTCTGCATTCTAGGATAAACGGCGATATACATGCTGTCCAGGTAACCTTTCAAGGGAGGCTTTGAAGGAGGTGAGATTTGATTTCCGTTGGTAGCATTACCATACATTATCTTTTGTTGTGTAAATAGGAGCAGTAGATTATTATTGACCATATTTGTGCAATGCTGCATCACAAGATGCATTTTATTAGTACTATGAATCTGCATCAGTAGTGTTCTTGGTGTATGAATCGACTGCCTCAGAGTACTTGAGAAATTTGTTGCTAATTTGTGTTTCAGTGAAAGTACTTGAGCATACAAGTCAATGAGATTCGAGAAAACCAAAAAGTAAGCCAACTATTATGTACATCTATAACAATTGATTGGGATAATTTCAGAGACTTCCCTCCAGGTTTCGCTTCGTAGCACTAACCTGCCTTGTGTGTTTACAATATTAAGCTTACATCCCTTTTCTCTAACTTTTTATAACAATTTTTGACATATTTATCATTATTAAACTGTTCTAATTAGTTAATTTTATAGAATATCTTCTTTATCACATTCTTTAATGATAAAAATGCAATGCATTGATATAAAGTTAGCCAAGTATGATGAAATAAAAACTGATAGGGATAATTTCATAGCCCTCCCTCTAAGTTTCGCTTCGTAACACTAACCTTGTGGTTTACGATATTATGCTTACCTCTCTTGTTTTTATTTTTTTGTAAAAATTATTTTGACATATTTATCATTAATGTAAAATAATTACAATTTGACTAGTTTTCTCTTTTCTAATATTAAACTGTTCTAATTAATTAATTTTATAAAATATCTTATTTATCAAATTCTTTAATGATAAAAAACGCGATTCATTGATAAAAATAGCCAAGTATGATGGAGTAACGATTGATAGGGATAGTTTGTAAGGCCTCCCTCAAAGTTTTGCTTTGTATTGTTTACGATATTATGCTTACTTCTCTTGTTTTGATTTTCTTATAACCATCATTTTTGACATATTTGTCATTAATGTAAAAGAATTACAATTTGTCTAAAGTCTTTTCGATGGAAACATTGACTCCAAATTCCTCTTCCACTTCCAACTCAATCTTCCCTGTGCAGTGTTGTGAAGAGCGTGAAGCGAGGAAAAACGGCAACCCCCTTTCGCTTAAAGCGAGAAGCGAGAAGCGAAGCGCTCGCTTTTTTGAAGTGAAAGCGGATAACCAAAAGAACAACTGCATAACACATAAGAAAGGCAATAAGAACTAAGAATAAATGATATAAAAATAAGAGGAAGGGCAATATACCATTCCAGTAAAAAATAGGCAGCATTTCAAACGAAAAAACAGTGCAAGAAAATGAAGAAGAAGAAAAGGAGAAGAATGAGAAAGAAGTACTGAAGGGAAAAAAAATGCGCCATCATTTCGCTGCTATTTAGACGCTGAAACAGTGAAAGAAAAAGAAGAAGAAGAAGAAGGAGGAGGAGGAGGAGGAGGAGGAGGAGGAAGAAATCACATACCTGGACCAAACTTGATGATCTTGAAGTTGAAAAGTGTAGAAAACTTGAACCCTAGTCGCTTCTTTCTTTCTCTGTTGCTGCTGGTCAATATGTTTTAAAAAAAGAACATCTTTTTTTTAATTAGGTTGGCAGCCCTTTAAAACAGAGAAGCGCACGCTTCTTACGCATCGCTTCGCATCGTCGCTTCTCGCTTTTTAGTGGGAAGTGAGCGCCTTTGAATACCTGCTACGCTTCAGATAGCAGAAGCGCTCGATGGGTCGCCTCGCTTCGCTTCTCCCTTTAGGCGAGAAAGCGCCCGCTTTTCACAACATTGTCCCTGCGAGCATTGGTTCCTGATTCTTCGCACACATTAAAGATATGGCATTTAAAATTTACCACTATGAGCACCAAATGAGGGCACTAAAACTCCAATCTAGAATCCTCGGAAAGCTACTTCCATTTTTTACTTTTTGCCAGGTACCATTAACTACCTTGCACTCTTTTGATCTTCTCTAAATTCTTTTTTATCACTACAAATGCATCTTCATATAATGAACTTTCTAACACGTCAGAAACCATTGAAAATAAAAATTAAATAAGACCTTCAACTTAATGGAGACTAAGGTGGAATTTTAATTTGCAGAGAAGAGGAAGTGGAAGAGGAAGAGGAAGAGGAAGAGGAATCTGAAACCAAGAAAATGATTTTCGAGCCAAGGAATCACGTGTTTTATCATTAAAGAATGTGCTAAAGAAGACATTTTGATAAAATTAATTAATTAGAAAAGCTTAATATTACAAAAGGGCAAATCAGTCAAAATGTAATTCTTTTTCATTAATAATAAAGACGTTAAAAACTGTTACAACGTATAGAAAAACCAAAACAAGGAAGCTAAGTGTAATATCGTAAACTACAAGGACATTAATGTTGCGAAGCGAAACCTAGAGAGAATTCTTTGAAATTGTCCCTAGTTGATAAAATGATGTATGGTGTACACATGGAGTTGGAGGAACTATCCTAAGACTACTGAAAATAAAAGCCTAGTTGAATACAATAGCAATAAGGGAACTTCAAGGAGATTGTAGTTTTCAATGGCAATTATGCCATAATTTAATGGGTTGATACATATTTTTCCCTTTGAACTTGCAAAATATTGTCTTTACACACTTTAGACCCCAACATATATGTTGGAATATGTATATGTGGAATTAGTCCTAGTCCCATATATAGTAAGAGTACATGTATTATATATATGGCTCATTGTATCATTGTTAGTACATCAATAATATTTTTTCCATGTATTATTTCTCACATGGTATCAAAGCGGCACGGAGAAAACATTTGGAAAACCCCCCCAACCAAAACAGTTGTTGTGCTTCAATTCAGGCGACCTTTTCTAGGGCTATTTTCCGTCAAATCAATTTCTGGTGTTGTGCAAAAACCAACACCACCACAAGGTCCCAACCCTCGGCGACCAAACCCCAAAAAGAATCTCCAGCTCTCACTCGCTGATCGGAGTATTTCTTTTCCACTAAGAGATCTGTTCCATACGCCGGTGCGTGGGACCTCTTTCGGCCATTTTTTGGCTGACCTTCTTCAGGTCAGCTTGGTCGCAAGGCTCTTCCGACCCGACCCATCAAGTTTAAACCTAATTTCAGCGACCTTTTTATTTTCTGGCGTTCTATTTGCAGTTTCCGGCGACCGTTTTCTTTTTCCAAGCTAAAATTTCTATGAGTTACAGTGGTACTAAACCTCCCTTCAATCCAACATATCCTTAGGGTTTGATGTTTTTGGTTCTAAAACACGAGTTCTGCAAATTCAACCTTTATGATTACTTCTGAACCCCTACTTGGGGGTTCAAATTATTTATCTTGGGCTTTGTCTGTCGAGTTGTGGTGTAAAGGTCAAGGTGTTCAAAATCACTTAACCAAAAAGGCCAGTGAGGGAGATGAAAAAGCTAAAGCACTTTGGGAGAAGATCAATGCTCAGTTATGTAATATCCTGTGGCGATCCATTGATTCCAAGTTGATGCCTTTGTTTCGTCTATTTCAGACATGTCAATTAGTTTGGGAAAAGGCTCGCACTTTATATACTAATGATCGGTCATCACCACATTATGCTTTTGTATCTTCTTTGTCTTCTGTTTCCATCCCTAAGTCTACATGTGAAGCACTGTCTCATCTAGGATGGCGACATGCTATGATTGACGAGATGTCTGCTTTACTTTGGTACTTTGGAGCTTGTTCTCTTCCTTCAGGTAAATCTATAGGTAAATCTACTGTTAGTTTTCATTGGGTTTATGCAGTCAAAGTTGGTCCGGATGGCCAGGTTGATCGACTTAAGGCCTGTCTTGTTGCCAAAGGATACTCAGATATTTAGGCTCGATTACAATGATACTTCCTCTCCCGTGGCTAAAATAGCATCAATTCGCCTTTTTCCATCCATAGTTGTTGTTCGCCATTGGCCTCTCTATCAGTTGAACTTTAAGAATGTTTTTCTTCACGGTGATCTTGAGGATGAAGTTTATATGAAGCAACCACCTGGTTTTGTTGCTCAGGGGAGCCTAGTGGCCTTGTGTATCGCTTGCGCCGGTCACTTTATGGTCTAAAACAGTTTCCTCGAGCCTGGTTTGGTAAGTTCAACACAGTTATCCGGGACTCGTAGTGAAGCATGAGAAAAAGGCTATCAAATGGCGGAAGAGAAAAGTGGAAAAGTTAATTGTATGAGTTACAAATCAACGATATCGTTAAATTGCACCCACTATGATAGTATGCCCTTCAAACTTCAATTGTGTACTAAGTGTTTTAGTTTTAAAAAGATGTTAGCATCATCTGGGAAGACCGAAAATTTCTTTTCCCTAAAGAAGAAAACTTTTTAAATATGATTTTGTTTTACACTTCAAGCTTTCTGTATCACTGAGAAAAGGTATCTCTTGACATACCATTTCTGGACATGGGAAAGAGTCCATAGAATGCTATGCTTTGATAGCAACAAAGCCAACTATATCTATCTCACTGTAATCGACTCCTATAATATTTCTTTATATTTATCTCTTTAGGGACTGCTGTTCTGCTTTTTATATTTTAATTTCTGAATCTTCAGAACAAGTTTGGGCATTACATTCTGTGATTGAAGCATGACCGTCTAAAGCTGGGGATGTGTCAAAAACAGCGAAAGTAGGGTTGAGATAGTCCTAAAGGAGTATATTAGTTTTCTGTAATTATAGTTTACCTTCTCTTAGTTATCCGTTGAGATCTCCTTGTAATCATCATCCCTCCATCTCCACCCAAAAAAACAAAAGAAAATAATCAGTTGTTTATTTCTTATATAATTGACGTTGAGGTTTTTCTTCTCATTGTTATTAGTTTCAGTGTTCATTGAGTTTATCAAAGTTCAATGATCTCGTGAAGCAGGCTTTACCTATGCACACAGAAATTAAATGTTTTATTCTCTGCTGCTTCAGTTGAACTCCGCAGTCACAGAGAAGGCTTCTGTAGTCGAAGCCAAAAGGATAGAACGTGACATTGGACCACTACTTCCTTTTGAAGAACTATTAGATGCTGACAGCATTGGAGACTCTATCAAGCAAGAAGACAATTCAAGGAGTAACCAATTGGAAGACTGTACTCTCCCTGGCCCGCGGGCTTTGTTGCATGTGACTAGCAGGAGAAAAGGAGCCTCTAGAAAAAAAAGCTCCTCAATGGTTCTCACATCACTCCGCTATTTGAACTTTCTTTCAAAATAGTATTATACCGCTGATTATCTTATTTTTTAAAATCCTGGCAGGAAGACAATGAATTATCGGAACTTCAAAGGGAGTATGAGGAGTTGCTATTAAAATTTGAATCACATGTAAGTTCTTTTGCTTTACATGTTTTATTTCTGATTCTGCAGCCTGGTTTCTTAGTTTAATTTTGCTTTTGCTAGAAAACCGCGAGTGAGGTAAAAGTTGACTATCTAACAAGGAAGCTTTTTGAGGCTGATATTCATCTGGTCGATGGTTCTGAGCAAGACGACAATTCTTTGATGCACTTGAATGGAAGCAAAACTTTGAGAGAGTCGGAAGCTATTTTGGTGATTAAGCAGCTGCAAGAGAAGGTGTCCTCTCATTTTCTTTCTTTCTCATCTTCCTGTCATCTATATAAATAAGATTACCTTGTCCTTTTTCCTCCTTTTAAGTATTTCTCAGAATGCGGAGCTTTTGTTCAGATCACTGTGCTAGAGATGGAGAGATCCTCAAGCCAACAGAATTTGGACTCTGTTGTTGAGATAGCAACAGAGCAAACCATATCTGCAAGAGAGAAGCATGAAGAGGTAATCAGGACTTCACTTTTTATGCACTGGAAATTGCAATTATGATGATTTATCTCCTTATATTGAGAGGCAGAGAGAGCAGACAAAGTGGTGATATATTCTTGTTCGCATGAGAATTTCTCTACTAGTGGCATAAATGTTGTGGCTGTATCTATCCACCATCGTATTCTCACAGTCACAGCTGTTTGACTGTTACAAAGAAACTGTTTCTTCCTGATAGAATACTAACAAAGTTCTCTTTCTCCCACTTGCATGATAAATGCACAAGGAAATATTGAACATGTGGTAGTCTTCTATATATCTGTAATAAGTGTTGTTTGATTAGTGATATTCTAGTTTGTGTTGGCATGTCATTACTAAGTATTTCTTTCAAAATCTAACTAGTAACGAATACGAGAAGCCACATAAAGAGCCCAAACCATGATGATGCTGAATCTGAATTTGAAGATCCTCATGTTTTATTGATTCGTTACGTCTTATTTCTTCCTTTTCACCATAGTCATATTTTTGCATTCTTTTAATTTTTTTATTACATACTACATAGAGGGACTAGGGAAGGGGAAGGGGAAGGGGATGGAGAGATTCGAACCCGCATCTATTATGTTGGACAATGACGTTAAGGGCTTGCTTAAAGCACGCTTAAGCCCTGAAGCTCAGTGAAGCCCAGGTTGTACGGTTCGCCTCGCTTAATTGGTCCTTTAGTGTAGGCATCAAGGTAATAAGCCGCGCGCACCTTCATCGATGAGTTTTGTCTTTAGGGAACAACAACATACATACATATATAGCTTAAATATAGTTTTTCCATTGTTTTGTCCAAATAATTATTGCTTGTGTTTATAGTTACATTTTCATGCATTACATTTCTATTTTTTTTCTGTCATGGTGCTTTTCTTCGCTAAAGCCCACGCTTTATTTGTACTTCGCATTTAAAGCTCCAACAGATTTTGGCACTTATTGTGCTTTTCGCCTTTGCCTACTTTGGTGTAGGAGATCTGCAGCGGTCCACTAGGCTATATGCCGTGGTGGTCGAAGATCTCATTCTTAATCTTAGCCCCAAGATGCATTCTCGAAAACTATGTAGTGATTAAACTTAGAAGATGTATTAGGCTTTTTTGTTTTTGGCGTAGACAGTTTTACACAGAAGATACTGTCTCAATCATAGAAATTCTAGGCTCCTGCTAGGATTACTGAACTTTGTCTTCTATTTTTGCTTTCTTGTACATATGCTTTCAATACATTCTATCTACTGTTTTTAACATACACATGAAAAAAAAAAAAATTAAAAATTAGAACGATGTATCCTGATGGTGATTTTTATCTATTCAATAGTTATTAGTTTGATTTATTAAATGAAGCTTTAAATATTATTTTTCTTTCCTTTTGCATTTCCGGCAGAAATATGTCTCTTTGTCCCCTCTTTCTTACCTCACATGCATAATATCTGTTTCCTCTGCACGTGCCACATCGCAGAGTGGGAATCAGTGTTTGGCCTTTTTGTTTTGCTTGTTGAGTATGTCTGGGATATCCTGTTCCTTGTACCATATTCCATCTGGTACAAGGCATAACTGCATAAGTGACTCATAAAACACATTAGGATGGTAATAGCTTTCGAGTTGAGTAGGTATAGCACGTCTCTATTAGATACAGACTCAAATGATCCTGCCACACAAAGAAGCCAAGGAAACCGGTGTTATTCTGCATCTGTATGAGCATGTTTTCAGGCCAATTCTTTGACTGCTAGGATCTCATTTTTACATTGATATTTACATTTGATATCCATAATACATTTCATTTAAGTGGTACAGTGCAATGACTTCTGTTTTAATGCTTTAGCTTTACCAAGAGCTTTTGAGTGCAAAACTTGAGGCACAAGGGGCTCATGAACAACTTGCTTCAATGCAATCTGCAGTATTTCTTGTTGTAAGTTCATTTCCACCCTAATATTGCTTGATGATATATTATGACACATTCTATAGGGCTCCGCTTTATGCATGCTATATAACCATTTTCATGTCTCCTGGGGCACTAATGGATACACTTTTTTCAGGAGGATAACATGAACTCTGAAATTGAGCTGCTGAGAGAGGTTCAAGATATGATGTCAGAATTTGAAAATTCACGAACCTTAATTGATTCACTCATTCCTGTGGTAGAGGAGCTTGTCCCGTCTTTCTCTGCCATATCCAAACTGGTTCTTGTGAGTACTGTATGTCATTGCATAATACATTTTAAATTTGGTCAATCTTTTCATATATTCCTGGCATGTATTCAATATTTCTTAAACAACATGCGTTTTTATCACTTATATATTCTATATATTAATTCTAGTATTCTTATCAAAAAATTAATTCTAGTATTATAGTTTATTATCTATGTGCATTCTATGACCTGATCTGGTTTCCCACTTTCAGGATTTGAAGTCTTCAGCACTTGACAGTTCCAACCAAATAAGATCCATAATTAGAAACCATGAGAAACTACAGTCTTTCTTGAGGCAAAAGATTAATGTAGTTGAGGATGAAAAGGTGCGAATTGACTGCATTTCCTTTTAGTTTGTCTTTGTAATTAGAACTTTGACTACCAAGTTTATCTCACATTTCGATTATTTGAGTTTCTGTTGAAAGTACCTTTTAACTCTTGCTAATCAAAATCTAGATTCTACTGGATAATCAGATAGAAGAACTGAAAAGAGCTATTGAAGATTCTGGAAATGCATTAACAGTAAGTTGCTTCACTTTCTCCTATACCTTCCCTTTTTTATATCTCCGCTTGTGCTGACAGAATCATGTTCTTTTCCAGGAAATCTCTGAAAAATGTGAAGCAGAAAAATCTGAACACCTTTCTCAAATTCAAAGTCTTCAAAAGGAACTTTCATGCTTATCTTCTAGTTCCTTAGTCAGAGAGAAGGAAAGCATTAGAAAAGATTTGGAGAAAACAAAAGCAAAGTTGAGAGACACAGAATCCAAACTTAGGAATGCCATCCAAGAGAAGACAAAACTTGAGGTCTCATTCAAATTGTTCTGAAAGTTGATTTTCTTGTGCCGTCTGAGGCATTTCTACCTTTTCTGACAGTATCACATTCTTAGGGTGAAAGAGCTTGTGCTGAGAGGGAAATTAAACGCTTGAATGGACAGAGGGCTATTCTTGAGCGTGACATCAATAAACGAGACTCGATCATTGGAAGAAGGCGTGATTCAGTTGTTGATAGGAGCTCTAATGTGTTCGACTCCAAAAGAGCCAAGAATTCCTCTGTTTGTGTTGAACATGTTGTGCAGGTAGGTATGGTGTGCACAAACTATAGTGTAAATACGTTCAAGAAGTGTCCTATGTTCCTTAAATGCATACTGGAACAGCAAAAAACCACTTTCCACATTGTCTGTTCGTCCAATTTTGGAATTAGTGTCACCCATGTAGATTGAGCCTAACTTTATGGTGCTGAAGGTATCTGAGTAACCACCGCAATAACTTAAGGCAATGACTAGAGTGGTCCTAGACCTTTATAAAATCCTTTGGAAGCCCTTACACAACCTATGTGGGACATTTAATAACTTAACACTTTCCCTCGCACGTAATCCAATTCTGGTGGTTCGCGCATGAAATTTTTGGGTGTGAGAATAGGCTTATCCAAGGTTGATTCTGATACCTTGTGAAAGAATCAGTGCATTTAGTCCAAAAGCTTAAGTCAATGGTGGAGTGGCCCTAGACCTTTATATACAACTTTTGAAACCCTTAATCCATGCGGGAGAATCAGTAACCAATAATGACAAAACAGGAGGGCGGACCAAAATTTGGTGTCTTTTTACTGTAACTTTTGTTCAAGAAGCCATTGATTTTAGAATATTCACCCTCCTTGAAAAGAACCATTGACAAGTAAAATAAGGCAAGCCTGAAAATTAACAGAAGGCCGTCCAAGCCAGGGCTTGGAGAGTGACATTTGTGCTTTCACTTCATTTTCATGTTTAGGCCTTTTGGGTTATGTCAATATCAATCTAAATCCTCTTACAGCCCCCAAGGCATCGTTGTCTAACTTACATGCGATGTAATAACATTTTCAAATTAAAGGATCAGATCATCATATGGTAAAAGTACTTCCATGTTTCTTCTCCCAATCATCTTATGATGACGATCTCAGGATAACCTCTAAGATTTCTAAGTTTTTAAACTTTATTACTAAATTAAGCATCACTAAACTTGGTTTAAACATGCTATATTTTCTGTGCCCTCAAAGAAAAGAAAACCTTATTGGTATGCATCATGAAGTCTAGTCAACTTCTCTTTATCTTAGAATATACTGATTTAGCAAAATTCCTGTTGAGTTGTTCCACATCGGTGGGATTTGAGGTCCTTGGTCTCCTTATATGGTTTTGGGCAATCCTCACCTCACAAGCTAACTTTTGGGGTTGAGTTAGGCTCAATGTCCATTTATCATGGTATCAGAGCCAGGCCCATTCCATTTGTTATTACTGATGTTGGGCCCCCATTTATGTTGTCCACGCTCCAGTTTACATGCCTGGGCGTGAGGGGGTGTTGAGTTGTCCCACATCGGTGGGATTTGAGGTACTTGGTCTCCTTATATGTTCTTGGGCAATCCTCACCTCATAAGCTAGCTTTTAGAGTTTTAGTTAGGCCCAAGGTCCATTTATCAATTCCATAGCATGTTTGTTTCATTCTTGAGATATTTCTCACCCAAGTTAGGTCTAGGAATCACTTTGAGCTTTATTTGCTTGCCCTATATTAAAAAGCATGGGCAGCTCGGTGCACAAGGTATCTCGCGTTCACGCAGGGTCCCGGGAAGGGCCGCACCTTAAGGAATAATGATGTAGACAACTTACCCTAATGTAAGCATTAATGACTGCTTCCACGGCTCGAATCCTTGACCTGTGTGAGAAAGCACGGGAGAAAATATATTATTGATATTAAATACTCAATATAATACAAGAGGTCCTATTTATAGCTATAGTCTACAATGTACATATTACTCCCATTCCAATGTGGGACTACACATAACTAACACTCCCCATAAAGCCGGTGCATACGCATCATATGTACCGAGCTTGTTACACATGTAACTAATACGAGAACTAGTAAGAGACTTGGTGAAAATATCTGATAGTTGATCATTCGACTTTACAAACTTTGTAACAATATCTCTTGAAAGCATTTTTTCTCTGACAAAGTGACAGTCGATCTCAATGTGTTTAGTCCTCTCATGGAACACCAGATTTGACGCAATATGAAGAGCAGCTTGGTTATCACACACCAGTTCTATCTTGTTGATTTCTCCGAACTTTAACTCCTTGAGCAACTGCTTGACCCAAACTAACTCACACGTTGCCATAGGCATGGCCCGATATTCGGCTTCGGCGCTTGATCGAGCAACTACATTCTGTTTCTTGCTCTTCCACGAGACCAAATTACCTCCTACTAGAACACAATATCTAGACGTAGAACGTCTATCAAAAGGTGATCCTGCCCAATCAACATCTGTGTACCCAACAATCTGCTCGTGGCCTCGATCCTCGAATAGTAATCATTTGCCCGAAACTGACTTTATATAGCGAAGAATGCGAAGAACTGCATCCCAGTGACTATCACAGGGAGAATCCATAAACTGACTTACAACACTCACCGGAAAAGAAATGTCAGGTCTAGTTACTGTGAAGTAATTCAATTTGCCAACCAACCTCCTATATCTCGTAGGGTCTCTAAGAGGCTCCCCCTGTTCGGGCAGAAGCTTAGCATTTGGATCCATATGAGAGTCAATAGGTCTGCAACCCATCATTCCACTCTCCTCAAGAATGTCTAAGGCATACTTCCGCTGTGAAATAATAATACCTGAGCTAGACTGAGCGACCTCAATACCTAGAAAATACTTCAATCTGCCCAGATCCTTAGTCCGGAAGTGCTGAAAGAGATGCTGCTTCAGATTAGTAATACCATCCTGATCATTGCAAGTAATAACAATATCATCAACATAAACCACTAGATAAATACACAGATTAGGAGTAAAATGCCGATACAACACAGAGTGATCAGCCTCACTACGAGTTATGCCGAACTCCTGAATAATTGTGCTGAACTTACAAAACCAAGCTCGAGGGGACTGTTTCAAACCATATATTGACCTGCGCAATCTACACACATAACCATTAAACTTTCCCTGAGCAACAAAACCAGGTGGCTGCTCCATATAAACTTTTTCCTCAAGATCACTGTGGAGAAAAACATTCTTAATGTCTAATTGATAAAGAGGCCAATGACGTACAACAACCATGGACAAAAAAAGACGAACACATGCTACTTTAGCCACGGGAGAGAAAGTATCACTATAATCAAGCCCAAAAATCTGAGTATATCCTTTTGCAACAAGACGAGTCTTAAGACGATCAACCTGGCCATCCGGGCCGACATTGACTGCATAAACCCAACGACAACCAACAATTGACTTTCCTGCAGGAAGAAGAACAAGCTCCCAAGTGCCATTCGCATGTAAAGTAGACATATCGTCAATCATAGCCTGTCGTTATCCTGGATGGGATAGTGCCTCACCTGTAGACTTAGGGATAGAAACAATGGACAAAAAAGATAAAAAAGCATAATGAGGTGACGACAAACGATGATAACTTAAACCGACATAGTGGAGATTAGGATTAAGTGTGGATCGCACACCTTTGCGGAGTGCAATTGATTGACTAAGAGGAGACAAGTCCGCAGTAGGTGCAGAATCTGATGCAGGGCGTGAATCACCTGGGCCTGATGCTGGATGTGGACGACGATGATAAGTCAAGAGTGGTGGAGCTGCAGAAGGTTGAACTGGATTATGTGGAGGAACTGACGCTATAAGTGGTTAGCTATACCTGGAGCTGTAGGTGGTGGAATTGGAGTTATAAGTGGTGGAGCTACAACTGGAGCTGTAGGTGGTGGAGCTGGAGATATAGAGGAAAATGAATGTGAGATAGTGATTGAATCTCCAAAAGATGAAACTGGTAGTACCTCAGAAATATCTAAGTGACGACCTGAACCTGTGAAGTATGATTGGGTTTCAAAGAAGGTAACATCAACAGACATAAGGTACCGCTGGAGGTCAGGAGAGTAGCATCAATACCCCTTTTGTGTTCTCGAGTAACCCAGAAATACGCATTTAAGAGCACGAGGAGCTAACTTATCTGTCCATGGAGTAAGGTTATGGACAAACAAGTGCTTCCAAAGATACGGGGTGGAAGAGAGAACAAAGGTAAGTGGGAAAACATGACAGAGAATGGAACTTGGTTCTGGATAGCTGAAGATGTCATACGATTAATAAGATAGCAAGATGTAAGAATTGCATCACCCCAAAAACACAACGGAACATGAGATTGTATGAGTAGGGTACGAGCAGTTTCAAGATGTGAGTCCATGTGATTTAACAAGGATAAGGTAATAAAGTCCGTTTGATTCACGCCCGGTACCAATGATCCGCCCCGTACTGCGTTCCTGTATAAAAACATGGTCATCAAGAAATAAAACAGCGCATTTAAGTGATTTGGCTAAGCGATTAACAACTATAAGATTAAAAGGACTATTGGGAACATAAATGACTGAATCTAAAGGTAAAGAAGTGGGCTTGCTTGACCTATTGCAGTTGCCATGGTTTGAGACCCATTGGCCATTGTGACTCTTGGAAGAGATTGAGAATACGAAATAGTAGTGAAAAGAGATTTGTTACCAGAAATATGATCTGATGCACTTGAATTAATGACCCAAAACTCAGAGGATGAAGATTGGGAGAAACAAGTCACGCTATTACCTGTTTGAACAACAGAATCTATCTCAGAAGATGTCTGCTTACATGCTTTGTACTGAAGGAATTCAATATAATCTGCTAAAGAAACCATCCGACTATTCAAAGTATCGGTTCCCATGTCGCTACAATGTGTAGTAGTAGTAAGGTTAACTTGAAATAGTGGAAATAAGTAACTCCTGTGGGAAAACTGAAGAAATAGCTGGGAAAACACTGTTTACAACAGAAAACAGAAAAACTATTTTACGCCGGAAACACTGTTCACACCAAAAAAACACTGCAGCTCGCCGAAAAATTGTAAAGTTTGTCGTAACCAGGATGGATAGATTCGGAATTCCCTTGCGAGCAAGCTGTCCTGAAGAAATGTTTTCAAAAAATAAAAGGTCACTGTTCACGCCGACAAAATATAAAAGTGGTCGTAATTTGATTTGAATTAGATGGATAGGCTCGGAATTGTGAGAAGAGCAGACTGTCCTGAAGAAGCTTCGAAAATGGCCGGAACTCTCGCTGGAGAAGTTGTTGCCGGCGCGTGGAGGCGCGTGGCAGCTTTTTTGCCGGATAAATTTTCAGGGGTTGGTCATCGGAGGGTGATCTACCTCGTGGTGGTGTTGGTTTTAGCACAACACCGACAAAAAATGACTTTAACGTAGACATGCCTTGGTCACCGGAAAAATTGCACGATGACTAAGTTCTTTCTTCCCGGTTAACGCTGGAATGACGCACATCTATCTTTTCTCACTAATGCTCTGATACCATGTGAGAAAGCACGGGAAAAAATATATTATCGATATTAGATATTCAATATAATACAAGAGGTCCTATTTATAGCTATAGTCTACAAAGTACATATTACTCCCATTCCAATGTGAGACTACACATAACTAACAACCTGTATTAAACAGCATGTTGGGCATTTATGCCCATAAGACGCTCTGTCATTATATTTACTCTTTCCATCAATCTTATAAATAATACTCCCGTCGTTTCAATTGATATGACACTTTCCTTCTTAGTATTGTGAGAAAGCACGGGAGAAAATATATTATTGATATTAGATGAACAATACAATACAAGAGGTCCTTATTTATAGCTATACTATACAAGGACATACTACTCTTCTACCAATGTGGGACAATACTACACTATATACATGCTGTAAACTAACACTCCCCCTCAAGCAGGTGCATACAAATCATATGTACCGAGCTTGTTACATATATAACCAATACGAGGACCAGTGAGAGACTT